GAGGGGGAGACGTCCAAATAAAAAGCTTTTTGAAGACTTCACTCAGTCAATTAGTGGAGCAGTGTCAATAGAAGCTGCCGCATAATGACTCACCTGTAATTGCGTGAGAACGAGCGCTCACGGGAGACTGAGTGGCACGTCACATCGGCATGACAAAAGCCCTCGATCTGTTTTTTAAGGACTCATTCTGTAATTGACCCCCACCCGCCTCCACACACACACACACACACATTGATACTCCAGAGCTGTTAACAGTCCCATGGCCGTTGACACTGGGGTGGAGACTGTTGGAGCTCCGCGCCGTCGAAGGCTGGCGTTTCTCCTCCTTCGTCTCCTCCTTCTTCTCCAGGCACTAACTTTTAAACGGCTGACGTGACGCAGGCCGCTGGTAAACTCCAGTGACAGGATCACTGCTGTGGTGAAGCTTAAACAAACCCACGTAAACCTCCTCTTCCAGGGTCCTTTCAATAAACACACATCCCATTTGCTTTGTGTAGAGAGCAGGGCTAATGAACGGACAATTACCACAACTGGCAGATGTTATCTGCAAGTGGGGCAGTTAAAATGTTGTAACTGTTCTGTCAGACTGTTGACCCCCCTCCCCCCTCCACTCAAAACCCCCCCCCCCTGTCACACAAAGTTAGTTTTTGGTTCTTATTTTAGCGTTAACCATAACAAATATGTTTCATATAAATCTTCAATCTTCACTTTAATCTAGTCCTTCCTTAAAACTGAATCTCCTAAAACCTAAAACAAACTCTCAGTCCACGGGGACCTGCAGAGAAAAAGGGTCCATCCAATAGTCTATTTCCAATAGTTTACCTTCACTTACACACACACCAAAAAAACTGTTTTGTTTAGTTGTTTTTTTTAATGTCAATATTTATTTTTTTATATAATGGATAAAATGGAGGCTCTGTTGTCTTTTTCTTTCTTTTTTTTCTGGCATACCAAATTTATTTTAGGAATATTCTCACCTTAAATTTCTTTTTATTTATTTTTTTTATTTCAATTTTAAAAATTCAATTTTAAAGTATATATTTCCCTTTATTCTTAATTCTTGGCCACATATCAGCTGTTCTGCCGTTGGTATTGTTAAAGACAATACTCACCTTGTCCTCAGTGAGAGGGACTTACGTCACCTCCGTTTAATCTTAATTCAACTTAATTACACTTCCTCGGGCGCTGGTCGAACAGTGAACCGGGGATTTTCTATTAGAAGTTGGATTATATTACATTTTATTGACGCCCGCAGCTTCACCCCTCAGACATGAAGGTGTACACGGGGGCACGCTATGCAAAACGACTCCCCCACAAATGCCTCCCCCTCAGAGCAGTTCAAAGCAGCCCCCACGCCTCTCCAAACATTATCATATAATTTGGGGCAGCCGTCAGCTTGCAAATAAGTGATGTAGAAGCCCATTGTGTGACGGGGCGCAGGTTGGAGACAGGCGTCTTCTGCTCTGCCGGCAGGAAGACAAAGGCAGGAGACAGAGCGTCTAACCTTTGATTCTTCTGAAGACTCAGACGTCTCGTGTCGGGCCGGGACGCATCGGCCACAGTCGTGCTCCCAATGTGGGGACGTCAGGAACAATGGGGTCAGTCGCCTACATTTAGGCTCCGTAACTTGCCTTGAATACAAGTGGATTTGTAAGTGTTAGTCAGACTGACATTAAGTGAAATATTAGACCAGAGGAGCGCTGGCGTTTCTATCACTGCGTCTGTTGTCAAGGGAAAAAATTACATTTTTTTTAAAAAAAACTTGGCTTTAAACTTCATATACATATGTACTATACCTTCAGAGTATATATTCTTTTAAGAAAAATGTTGAAGTAAAATATTCTTTCGATTCTTTTGTGACTTCATTACAACCTGAAACTAAGTGTTTGATTAACTTCTTGACTTCTACAAAATAGAAGAACATTTATTTAAAATAAGGAAAATAAAAGTCTGATAATTGTATCACCAGAATGTATGTGTTTCAAAGCAATATATATATTACAAGTAAATCAACATTTTTTTTAAAATTGTTTTTACTGTTTTCTCATTTAAAAAACTTATACAATCTAATGTACATTATGAAAAGTTGTACAGCTTTTTATGTTTAAAATAAGGACTCAATTTATTTTTAGTATGTAGATATAAATATATATAATATATATTTTGTCAAAATATATGATCATATTGTCAAAGAAACAAAAAAAGTGAGACAAACATACACCTCAACATAAAAGTTATAAATAAGGGTCCAAGTGAACATTTTTGGGAGTAAAGACTTCTGATTCTCTGAAGCGTCCATGTTGCTTTTTTCCGTTTTTACTTTTTTTTTTTCTTTTTTTTCTTTTTCTAGTGGCCAGTCCAAGTCCAGTTCTACTTAGTGTGTGTTAGCGGCAGCCGCAGCCCTCCACTACCATCTCCTGGTAGTTTTTTAGGACCACCTTGTCATGTTCGTCCAGGTAGAGCATGGAGATGGCGCTGAGCTCTGTTGGCACGCAGCAGGCCTTGGGAATGTTGCTGTTCACAGAGTTCACCAGTGTCTGAACAATGGCATGGTTAGTGGAGTTCAGATGATCTGCCAGAGGAAAGGGGCATTCCCCATGGCAGTAATACGCCTGGTAACCAGGGGGCGCCACTATCCAGTCATTCCAGCCTACGTCACTAAAGTCCACGTACAGTGCGTGACGCCGGCAGTTGCGATTGCGTTTACGACCCCTTTGCTTGGGGCTGCGCTTGGTCCGGCGGGTCAAAGGGTGACCTTTCCCGTCATGGCCAAATGTGACCAGTAGGGGGCGTAGCTGCTCCCAGTCCTCACCGGGCTCCTGGTGTAAGGAACGGCTGATGCGGACGTGTCGGCCCTGGTGGCGCGGAGTCTGGTTGAGGTGCTGCACCTCTATTGCTAGCCCGTAATTAGGGAGGCGCTCACGAGTCCAGCGCAGCACTGCGGGGCTGACGTCAAAGCTCTCCCAACGGGACGCGTTGTGGCGCACAAGCCGAGTATCCAAAAGCTGCGTTATCAGCTGCCCAGGCCGGGGGGGCTTCAAAACCTCATACACGTTTATCCTGTGAAGCCCCTGCTGGACTGAGAGGCTGTCGGCCAGGGCCTCGTCGATCTGCTGCCGGTAGAGCCGAAGTTCAGCAGAAGAGAGCAGCTCATCTTCTGGGATGCTGCTGAGGTTGAACAGGAAACGCAGGGGCGTGGCTTCTCCATCGTCCAGCTCATGCACCCTTTCCATGTGCTCTGTAAAAATGAACAAAAGGAACAGCGTGCGATAAGTTATGAATCCAAAACAAAAAAAAAACAGTTATTGCTATTTCTGAAAAACAAAACAACAAAATATCTTCTCATAATAGAACACAAATTTGGATCGAAATGGTCCCAGCAAGACAAGAGCAATGTGTAATACTCCTAATGTCCTTTGGACATTACAATTTTGGGGAATTTTTGCTGAACCATGGAATCAGCTGAAGATTTTGTAAGTAAACACAAAAGTACAGATACTGTAGTGTGTGGATATAAAGTACATGGGGTGTAGAATATTTTCAGAAAATTAGGTTTTCATTTAATTATAAAACTGTACAAATGTTTTTACCGAATTATTTCTCTTTTGTTCATGTACGTTTTTATAGGCTGTACATAAAGAATTGGACAACTTAATTATAGCTATACTATGACCGTAGGTGAAGCTACGGAAAGGGAATGGTGCACGCTAGCTTTGGGAGCAAGTTTTTATATATGTAAGTGGATAATGTTCGCAACTTGAATGACTCAACGACTGGTTTAACTTTTTTCTAACGTTTCGAGAAACCTGTTGTCGTCTTCCACCCATGCGGCGTGGCCCGTCATTTCGATAAAACATTTGCGATAAAACGAACAGCGTGCTAACTCCGCGTTTGAGCGCGCCGACGTGATTTGAACTGACACATAGACAATCCCAGCACACTTTTCCATCAGTGCCCATTGTCCACACTTCCTTATCCATCTGTGAGGATTATCCTGCCCTTCTCTCGGCGCTTTTCTCTGAAGCACTTTGCTGAAACATGCATTACATGGAGGGTGGTGATTAACGTACCACAGCTACAGTATAAACACAGTGGAGGCTCCCCTGGTCCGCGCTCCGTCTGCAGATTTCTGGCAAGATCACCATTGATGGGGAAAGGAATGTTGTGTCTACTATTTTCCTGCTCAATCCGCCCCTGTTATTTCACACCCAGGCCCTAATCTTGGCCAGGTGGCTCTCGTTATTAAAACCTGCTGTGTTTTTGATTAGCTCTGCAGTTTGTTCACTTAAGACATTTATCATTTTCGTCCTGAATAACCATTAAGGATTCAGACAATGTAGGGACCTGTTTTTTTGTTTGAAGGCCACAAGACGAAAAAAAAATGTCCAGAGGGGGACAGAAGGATTGTCAAGTATGAACTTGTTTTACTACACATGTGGTTCGTGTTGGGAACGACAGGACCTTTCTTTATAATTGAAATAAAAACTATTATCAACATGTCACCTCTTGCTCACGAAAATTAAAAACTATAACAGAACACTAGTTCCAGCTGCAGACTCTGATGCCGTGTTCAGAAGGAGCACGTCGATTTTTTTTTCGCCATATCAAATTGATAGAAAACCAGGTGCAATGGATATGAATTGAAATACAAATTGCTGGTTGTTAAACAAAACTGCCACTGTTGCAGCAACCATGTAGTCAATACAAACATTGTGTTGTGTTTGTGATTAAATTCAAACTAAATGAACTTAATATTAGCCCCAGTCGGAGGCAGTCAACGGAACGATTTTATTTTTTAGAATCACGTACATGAAGGTAGAACGTGAAGCTGAAACTTACCACATGTGAAATGGCAGACAATTTTAATCATATTATAGATTGATATATATTATATTTGATTGTAAATAAAAACAAAAATACAGCTGTTGTATATATATTCTCAGAAAACGTAATTGCTATTTTACTGGAATAACTGTGTTGGTTTGAATCTATATCAAAGTAGCGTTTACATTTTCAACTCAACTCAGAGTTCTCGAACATGATTTTAGTTTTAGTGAGCTTCAGTTCAGATGAAAATGGATAGAGATAGCGCCGTCTGGAAGATGTTGCGTTTTATTCCGAATTTGCATGTGAGCTGTCCCCACAGGTGGTTTTCCGCTCTATACTGGAGCCTAATTTATGTATTTAATTTTGTGTTCTAGTGAAGAACTGCAAATAATTATGTATTTAATTTTGTGTTCTAGTGAAAAACTTTAACAATTCACTTAGCCCTGCGACCATAGCCTCCAACCAGGTGGCTCAGTCCACTTCTTATAAACAGTCTCCGGAACTACCTGACCCGTGTTTTTTTGGTACTCATCAGTCAACTAAATCACAAGATCGCACAATGGTGCTTCCATGAAAGCAAGTACTCCTACTGAGAAGTGTATTATTAACATAGTTTAGCAGAGAAGAAGGAGGGTAAAGGCCTGAAGAGAGTAGTCAAAACACACACACACACACACACACATTGCATCACAGGCCCGAGAGCAGTTCCTCCTCCAGCGGCTGCTCTTTCTTCCTCTCTAGTCTTGGTAGATTGCCGTTCTGGTGTGTGTTGGTATGCGTTACGACTAGCAGTGTGTTTGACAAGCCCCATTAAGGCTGACTCATCCCTCCTACCTCACTCCTCCCCCTAAGGGTGGACGTGTTCTGTAGCCTTAAAGGTCCCCAGTCTTCTCAGTTGACTACACTACAAGGTCACTAACCCGCTCGCTCTTTTCGAGCGTTTACTCAACTTGCTCCATCTTTCCGACCTCAACGTACATTTAACAGATGGGTCAACCTGCAGTTCCTCTCTGGCCCTTAATTGAAACGTCTGCAGCTGTCCCTTAAACTAAGCAGATCTGAGTCACAATAAACAGAAGGCCATCTAACATTCCGGCCTTTTCTATCGCACCGGCTTCTGAGGCTGTTTTTCCATTTCTCCGAAGAGCTGCAGCGTCTGCTCTCAGCACCCGCACTGCTGGCAGAAGGGGCTTTATTTAGAAGGCTGCAGAGTAGCATTAAAGATAATTGCACGTTGAGGAAAGGACCTTCTAAAAGAGACCTCCATATAAACTGGAGACATTAGAGAGGAGCACACTCCAGTTCCAGGCCAAGACGGAGCTTTTTTAAGCCTTGTTCTGCTGGGTGGGGTGAGAAGTGCAAGTTCAGTAATATGAAGGTATGCTTTTCTTTCAGCTGCTAACCAAACACGCAGAGTTTTGTCAAATGAGACTCTTGAGAGCTTGTCTAGCAGATTTTTTTTCTGACCCTCTTTAGACAGCGTTTGGTGACCACATCCTCAGATTCCTGGGTTTATGGTGAGATGGGTGGAGCCGCCTTACAATCCTGTTACAAGAGCTTTTTTTTTTCTAATTCCTGAAAATGTCATCAGGCGAAGTAATGAAATGTGAAACTGCTAAAATAATTTGGACGTCTGGCAACAGCCACCTTCACAGTGGCGTCGCGTTTCCTTGCTGACAGGATTCATTTATCATTTTCTCCCTTACCTTCATGGTGGAAGCCTCTTACAGTGTTGGCCCGGCTGGCTGACCTCTCTGGATACTCGAAGGCAATATCGTGCCCTCCGGCCTCCTCGGCCTCCCCCGACTGTAGTCGATAGAGGTCCAGCAAGTAGCGAGGCACGGTGGTGGAGCGGCTGGGCCTTGGCCGCCTCTTGAGGCCGAACATGTGCAGCAGCGTGGCCTCAAAGTCCCGCAGCAGTTCATGGCTCTGAGCGGCCGAACGACCCTGCAGGCCCGGTACTTTCTTTTTCCCCTCTTCAGGTATCAGACTAGCATGGTTGCTCTCTCCCAGCAGGACTTGGCATATTAAAATGACCATCAGCATTCGATTACCAGGAATCATGATGTCTCTGAGGGGGGAAGGAGATGCCACAGGAATTTATTAGATGGGATTTTCAACTTTTTCCAAGCTTATTCTAAAGTTACAGTATGGGGGTTAGATTTCTTGATTTTTCTTTGACCTCTTAACATGACATCAAAATAATACTCTACCATGCCAACTATTTTGCTAAACAAGGAAGAGATTTTTTTTTTAATACTACATTTACACTATTCTTTCACAGTCTTGTAAGTCTTGGAATTGAGTCATGTTGCTTTGCCCTTGTTAGAATATTTTGAGCAGATTAGGAAATGTAAAATGAGTCTAAAACGTAACCTCAAAGTTGATTCACCTTGCTAAAACCTAAGGTGTTCCTGATAAAAAACAAACACTTCTTCCCTTCCCCCAACATTTTCTCCCTTCTCCACTGTGATTAGCCAAATAGGCAGCCCCCAGGTCAGAGCAAATCCTTGTCTTGATAAGGAGCCCGGGTCCTAACAAGTCATAGGGCAAACACTGTGACACATATTTCACTGAGGAAAATGGTTCTAAACCACATGTAGTGACCAGTCCTCATCAATTCTAATTAAAACAACAACAACAAAAAAACCTGCACAAACTTACCGACAGAAAATAAAGCATGGGAAAACAGTCCATGTTTGTTGGGAGCAGGCGATGGACCCGTTTTTCCAGGAAATGTTAGGTGGTGTTGGGCGGCTGCAGGAGAACGTTGGAGTGACCCTGTTCCTGGAAGGCAGCAAAACAAAAAGAAAAACAAATGAGCAAAAACATAACATGAATATAACAGTCCCAAACATCCAATCAAAGAAAGTATCCTGTTAGTGTTGGTGTGTGTGTGTTTTTAACTGGACAGGTGTCTGGACCTGGTGTCTCTCCAAGGCTTATCATTTTGGCTCGTGGGCTAAGCTAGCTATTTACTGAAGCTGGAATGTGAGGAGGTATGAGCCACAACAAAGAGGGCAGATACAAACAATAACCACTGCAACTGAATCACAAACATCCAGCAGGATACAAAAACACAAGAAAAATAACTGTACCAACCCTGGCACTGACCTCTCATGTTTACACACACACACACGTGCCAAACAGCTGATAACCACACTTTGATCAGGAACGGTAAAAAAAAAAAAAACTGCGATTTCCCCAGCTGATAACCACACTTTGATCAGGAATGGTAAAAAAAAAACTGCGATTTCCCAAAACAAGCTTTGAGAAAGTGAATCTGAAGTGAACGCTGAGCCTTTGATCCTACAAACACGCGAGGTCAGCATTCATCTCAGGATCGGAATTAAAAATAGATGTATCTTAAAAAGAGGGGCCGTGTGTGTGTGTGGGGGGGGGTCATCACTTGGTAACGCTCCCCCTCTTGAAGGATCAAACAGATTGTAGAGACGCTGACGACAGGGCAAAAAAAAAAAAAAAAAAAACGCTCTTCGACGTCACCGTCAGCAGAGGAAGAGACACAAACTCAATCAAGGATTTTCCTTTGGAAAAATAAACCAGAACGGGAATAAAAACGGGTTTTAAGAGCACTGACTGAAATCACGACAGTAATCCCTCCAACTATAAAAGCCATTAGTTCCACGTTAACAGTTTCCTCTGTCGGAGGATTAAAACAAACACAAGCGTGGAGCCAATGACTCAATTCTCTTACACGTCAGTCGAAAGTGTTACATGCTGCTGACTCACACTAATAAAAGAGGAGTTCACAACATCAACAACCCAAACTGCAGAAGCGTGGAGACATTTTTCTTCTCCTGCATTCGATCCGGAGCGACGACAGTTCTTGGTCTTTCTGGAACCTGTTGCTACACGGCTAGGTAGATGTGAATGTGGCACAACTACGTGTGTGTGTGTGTTGAGTCACTGAGCGTCCTGTTTGGTATCATTGTCATTATCTCAGCTCACTGTATGCACAATCGAGGATCTTTTCCCCCTGACTGTATCAGACTCTGACCCTGGCTTCACCCGGTCACCCTTTTGTCAGTTTGACTGGAGATCCAATATCTGAGTGTGTGTGTGCGCGTGTTTCTAGGAGAGAGAGAGCGAGAGTATTTTGAGGTTCGGAGTGTAGTCTGGAGTTAGGATTAAAATCAGGCTCAGATGAATTTTAGACTAAAGATTATAGTCCATTTGTCACAGTTAAACGATTGTATTCAGTCAATGTGAAGCGCTCGCAAAAACACCAAAACTGTCTGTGTGCGTGTGTGTCCATGTGCCACCGGTTGCATGTTTGTGTGTGAGAAAACTGTGGCAGAGAGAGAGGAGGGTTCAGAACACGATCAGCTCTATTACCCAAGGGGTGGAGGGGTTAAAGCAGTGTAAGAGTGGGCATTTGACTGTGTATGTGTGTGTATGTGACAGAGAGAGAGAGAGAGAGAAAAGGAGTGAGTGAGCACATCTCTGACAACAAATGTTCATTGTCCAGAGAAGGGCCTCTCCCATGATTACAGGGATTCATGGCGCTCCAAAACACTGACCATACACAACATCTTGTAACTGTAACCAACCAGTGACAAAGCTGCAGGCTAAAAAACACAAGCTCACACACTCAGTGTAGATGATGATGAGGATGATGATGATGATGACAGAATATGTCAGGCGGACAGGTACTGGCTTTGAAAATGTCAACGCCGCCGTTAAACAGCAAAAGAAAACAAGTGTTTACAACAAGGTGACTTTTTTTTCCTTCCTGTGACCTTAAGATTTACTGTTGTAGCGCGGAGCTGCAGCCAGAGCAGAAACTCAACTTGATGATATTAAAGAGAGACTCTCCACTCTGCAGGATCTGCACAACACACAGACAGACAGACACATTTTTCCAACAACAAATGGAGATCCAGGGAGCAATTACAGGCCAGAGCTCTGGGCTGCCCTTGGCTTTGCTCCGTCCCCCTTGGCCTCCTCTCACTCTCTCTCTCTGTCTCTCTCTGTCTCTCTCTCCCTCCCTCTCCCTGACCACAGATAATGTGATCAGACTTTGCACATGGCTCCTCAGATGTGTTTCATGAGGAATTTGACAGCGACGGCTGGAAGGAAAGATGAGAGGGGAGGAAGGAGCTGCAGAAAAGGCCAAATTTTTTTGGCACAATATTATCAATCTGGAGGCCCGAAATCAGTTCAGAGGAGTCGTGCCTGGGAAATCCACAATCACGTCCGTAAAAAATGGTCCCCTTTATAGCAAGAGGGTGAAAAATAATTTCAAGAATATCCTGCGTAGCGAAGGAATTTGAATGGTTTGCTAACCTCCCTGATAACAACTGGGTTGTAGCTGAAGCTCTGCTGAGTTTAAATTATAACCGAGACACCACTGAGAGAAGCAGAATGTGCAGCTCCGACCTGTGATGTCTGTTTGGCTTGTTGTTGAACAGTGGTTTGGGGTTTTTATTGGCTCCCGGCACATTCACAGTCAGTGAGATCACTGAAACCAGGTTAATGCTTTTGTTAAGCTCTGATTTGAGGGGGAAAAAGGGAAAAGAAGTTGCATCATCGTTTTCTTGATTTGGATCCATTCAATAAGGAATTCAATGATGAGGAGAAGTTAAAGTTGCTCCAACATGGCCTTTAAAATGCAGCACAAATGCGAGTAAAATGCACATCTTTCTTGCAGATATTGATGCAGCACAAATGCGAGTAAAATGCACATTTTTCTTGCACAGATATTGATCATAATTTACTTTTTTTTTTTTTTTTTGCAAGACGTCTCTGCAGCAGGATGGAGACGTTTGAGCTGAGAGGTAAAAGTTCGAGTGCGTGTGTGTGTGAGTGTGTGCCAGAAGACGCCATGCGCCCGCAGGCCGCAAAATGTTTCTCCACTGTTGCACGGCGGCATGAAATGACACAAATTCCCTGTGTAATCATGCGTTAAGAGCAGGTGTAAACATGTGAAACCTGTCCGAACTTCATTAACATTCACATTCAGCAACCGGTTTCAGGACGACGAACTCCAACTTTATGCCACTGTGACAAATTGGCACAGGCTGGCGGGGGTTTAAAGATAAGTTAGAAATGACTCACGGGTTATTGATGATCTAATTACAAAGCTATTTGGAAGTTAATGTTTTGTTGGGGTTTTTTTGTTTGTTTTTACTGAGCTCTTATTAGGATTAAATTAGGATCGATTACATTTTGGGAGATGTTCGAGGCTGTGCCATCGACACCTTTACGCACGGAGATGTCACGGAGCGGACACGGGCGGATCGCTGTGCCAAACCGTGCGAAATGTTTGTCATTTGTGCCACAAAAAAAATCAATTTGAATGAAATAATAATAATAATACCACGAGTGAAATAATAATAATAATAATAATACCACGAGCCGTGTAGAAACTGAGAGTTGTGTTTGTAAATGATCTCCCTGAGCCACAACCTGTTGCGAGCTTCCGTTGGATCACAGCGCTGTTCGTCCAAAATACACAATTCTGCGTCTCGATTACAGAAAAAAAAAATCTGTTACTAAAACAAATCACAAGTTAAACACATTAGTATGTACTGCAGTGAGAAGTTCGCGTGGCGCACGAGAAGTTCGGCGAATCGCGCACCAGATTCCAAATAGTTGTCGCTGTCACCGAGATTCCAGCTCTCGATCGCCAACAGTTTCGATTCCCGTTAAAATTCCCGGTCGTGATATTGATTGTGTGCAGCTAAGTGTCGGGAGGTGAGCCCTTACCATCAGTAGAGGTCCAGGTATCCTCGAGCAGAGTGAATGTGAAAGGAAAGCTCTGAAACGCAGTCCAGGCGTAAAGCCTTAAAAATGAGCCTCAGAGGAGAAACTGTTCGTCCCTGCGGCTCATTAATCCTTCGGCCACAGCAGCGAGGACAAATTCACACCGGCCGGAGAGACAGACAGTGAACGCCGGCGCACACGGACTCAGCAGCGGCGTCTCCAACCCGCCTCCACTCACGGCAACAGTAAGAGTTGGTGCAGGCGCAGCGCAGCACGAGAGGAAAACTTCTCCAATGATCCAGCATCTATGGGCCCTTGGAGTTTTTATCCCTCTCTGCCTCCTCCCTCCTTTCCTTCCTCCCTCCATCCCTCCTTCTCCGACCCCCACCTCCCTCATCTGTCTCAAACACCTTGGATAACCCCCCCCCTCCCCACCTTCTCTGCACCCCCACCTCCTCCACTCAAAATAAAGAGCTAGTTGCGCGCTGCATTTTCTTTTATTTTGTCATTAGTTGAAACTTTGCATTTAAATACAGCAGATCCAGACGGTAATCTAAGCTGGCTTCGTGCTCCTCTAACTCGGCCTTGATCCCTGAAGATAACAGGCCATTACAACGTAATTTGCAATTCAAAAAAAAAAAAATAGAATAATTTTGACCAAGATATTTCCATTCTTTTCGTTCCATTTGTTTTAATACAAATCCTAATCCCAGAAATGTCATTCTGTCATACTGAGACTGAGAAGTTTGAGTAATCAACTGCAGAATAAAACAATGTATTTTGTCAGGTTTTTTTAAAGTTTCTGACACACTGATGTGCACAGTCCAGCCCAGTAGGTGGCAGCAACGTACATAGAGGTTGTTTGCGAGCCACGAAGAAGCTAGACGCATGGAGTGACGCACACGAAAAAAGTTTAGTCAACAGTGATCGAAGTTGATATGAAATCGCATGTCGTGTTGTAGGTAAAGATTTAGATAAAAGATTTAACACAGTTTGGATCAAATGTTGTTTTTCACTTGCGCGTTCACAAGGGCTAACGTTAGCTACTACAGCAAAAATATGGATCTAATAGCTGTCATTGCTCATCTGCAGATGTAATGCACAGAAAAAATCTAGAAAAATACACGTTTAGTTATTGAATTTGACCAACGTTTCTGTCATTTTGGCGAAGTTTGTCCCAAGTAGCCCATTTTCTATTTTTCAATTTCAATTTTGAGTGAACAGTTACATTTTTGCCCAATCCACAAAACACTGGGTAAAATGCTAGGTAAATGCAGAACAAGAACCTGATAACAAGAACAGCGTTACCAATGGAGTCATGTTGCATGACGCTTGTAATGAATTTTTGAGCATGCGCTGTAGCAGCTTAGCTTAAAATAAAATGATGTTTTTTGAACATAAAAATGTTGAATGGTGAAGTGTAAGTGTCTTTTTGTTGTCACTGAGGGCCAAAAGTTATGTTTTTGAGAACAACTACTGCATGACACTGTGTGTCCGTATCACAGTTCAGGGATTTTTATCATCAGCTGCAGACACTCTGAGACTCCGCAGCTTCACCACACACCTTTGTTAAAGCTGCGTTTGTTTAGCTTCATCTTTGACCTTGACAGGCCGTGGTCAGGTGGTCCTGATGTCATGAGCCGTTAGGTTTTCTAGTCGACAACGGTTAAGATTACAAGATTAACTTTACGAGCGGATTAAGTGTTTGTTCATTTGATGCACATGTGAGTGGGACTTTAATGGCCTTTATGACTCAGTCCATTCCTCACCTTCACACACATACCTCAGACGTGACTCCTCAAACTGTGAGTATCTCATCGTAGCACCGTTACTTAAACCATTAGCGTTCTGGGTGCTGTGGTCACTCAGAGTTTATCCGTGTCTGTGACGTTCTTAATGTACTTCCTGTCTTTAAAGCGTGAAATGGATCCTTGAAGATGGACTTACAAATACAGTATATTTCTATCAGTCGATATAATACAGAGTCATTTATCAACGTTATAAATCACGCCTGACACATTGTTACCAGATCACGTTTATACTATAATCACTGTGGTTAACATAACTATTATCACAGTTTTCCAACACTGCTGTTATCATATATCAGATACTATGAATAGAATAATAGTTTAGCTTATTATCACTTAAAAGAACCACCGTGGTGGCCTGGTGGTTAGAGTGGTTGCCGCTGGGAGGTCAGTGGTTCAAACCCCACCCGTGTCACACCAAAGACGTGGAAAAGTCTCTCATTTTGTCAGACGTCGTGGAAGGGTGGTTAGTCAATCGATCTAGTCTACTAACAGTTAACATTTTAGCCCATATGAAGCTATTCTGTGACATTATCACAACTGTTACTATTTCTGGACAGTTTTTTTTAACAGTTTTATATATATGTAAGGTTTTAGTTTTTTTGTTTGTTTTTTTCAATGTTAACTTCTTTATTCTTTAACTTACTTTTAGATAACTGCCTTAACGTAACAACCTTGTAGTTTTCTTTGGACAGAATTCTGGCATTGGGCTAACTTTCCATAGTTTTTTTTTAATTAACTTATAGATTTGTTTAAATAATTTCTGTCTTTATTACAGTAGCTATTTCCGCTAACGTCAATGAATCTCTTCACTTCCACTCTTTCTAGCATTTTGGCTAACTAATACATACCTGAGCTATTATTTTGAGGCTAACATTGAAGAGTTGAATAATATTTTAAAAACAACATATGAAGAAATAGAAATTAAAAAGACTACAGTACAGTTTAATGTAATTATTTATCTGCTTACTAGAAACTCTTTTACTAACTTTCAGTCAAAGTCTGCGTTGTTTCCCCGAAACTGCAGTACTACTGTTTACTAACTTATCTTCCAGGATGTTGGAACAACAGTCGTACATCAGACAGGGAAATGTCACGTCAGTGTGTAATCAGTAGATGTGTCAGGAAGACAAGCCAATCAGAGACGACCACACCAGCATCACCTTAGACCACACGATCCAAACTGCAGATAAACGTCCGACTAAAAACAAGCAGGCAACAAAGTTATGGAGCAATTGGTTTCACTCAGATAAGATTAAGATCAACCTGCAGAACATGAAGCAGTGATGGAAAATAAAGTTTTTTAAGGAAGCACACGAAAAGCCGGGTCACACGGTACACGCTGCCCTTTGCCTTCTGTTTGAAACAATATATTTATTTTGAAAGACATACAAAAGGAATCAGGTTTTTTTACTACAACATCTGACACAATGTGTATTTTTATGTACTACAGATTTCTTTACTTTATGATTTCATCATTTTTAGGTGGACTCGTGTCACTCACTGCTGTTGAATAAGGTCGACCCACCCTGCTGACATCGCTGTTTCACCAAATAAATCTTGTGATTATTATTGCAGCTCGGCTCTGATGAATATCGGACCTGACACTCAGGCGGTGATGCATTTCGCAGGTGCCTGACAGCAACAAAGATGAATATTTCAGCGGTAAATTTTTTTTTTGTGTTTCACCTAAAACTGTACTGAGGCTCCAGCATATGGTGTTGTAATCACCATGTGCGGTGACATGTTGTCGGTCAAGTCGGGAGGACGTTTGATTACACTGCTGAAATGTGATGTTCCTGTTCTTATTGCTAGGTTTTTTTGCGTCACTGTGCGGTCTCACTGTACATTGTCCTGGTTTTCTCACAGTAACTGCTTTTATATAGGGATCTCACTGTACTATTATGTCTCCTGACAGAGCATCAGCCTCACTCTGGCTCCATGACTACCTCTGCTGCTGGCATGAAGGCAGAACAAAGCCCCAATAG